GGAGCAAGATATTAAAATTTAAAACATCATTAGATTTGCTCTTAAAAACTGCCTTCTTGCCTTGTTGATCCGGGGACTTGCCTCGCTTGCTTTGATGTAAAGGGGTATATAGAAATTTTTCTCTAGGTTTTTATAGGAGGAGAACTGTACTTCAAGGATGTCCCTTAGAAAATCATCTCTTGTGCTTAGCCCTTCCTGGTGCCTGACTGATTTCCGCCACATGGGAATGTATGATCTTTCTGAAGCTGATTTCGGACTCAGGCTTTCCTCTGGGGTGGTGTGCTATTAGCGCTCTTCGATGTTCTCATGAGTAACGTAAGAGTAAATCGTCTTCCCAGTGAAGAAACATTCCGAGGTGGAACTTTCTGATTTTCATTTTTGTTTTTTACCGTGATATTTTTGTCGGTGTCAGACAGTATGTTGGTTTTTATTAAGTCACCTGGTCTTATCAGAAGCAGCAGCTTCCTGCTCCTGCGTTCCCGTCTCCGTAGGTTCAAGGGCTTCGGGTCGTGGCACGGCATTAGGACACTGTGTTACAGTGTATGGGGGACAAGTGTGAGGTGGCAATAGGGACATTAACCATGCATTTTTCACACATTTAATGCCAAACAGATAATAAAGCTCCACAGAATGTTTTATTCTTTTACGTATTCAGGACATGTTTTTGGATGCAATATCCCAAGGGCTCTAAGAAGGCCCCTACACTATCCAGATGGCCAAAACAGTCTCCTGATCTTGTTTTTTGTAATCATGATGGTCTACCCTAAGGCCTGTCATTAACATTTCAAGTAAATCCTGTTCAGTTCTGACTGTACCTTGCCCAGCGCTGCACAAGTGTATTCCAACTGCTGCTGAACGTTTGCGGTGTCCTGGAAGTGTGCACATGTGTCACTAGGGTGTCCCTTTTGAGTCTGTGACACAGCTACCCCAGCCTTGACACTGAGCAGGAGCGAGAGGGGCAGGCCCTGCTGCTTGCAGACAAAGGTGCTGCCCATGCGTGCCCACCTCAGGGCTCCCTGGGGACCCACCGCTGCCGCGGGCAGGGTGGAGACTGTCCTGTGGTCTCCTGCTCTCGGCTAATGCTGGAGTGCTGAAGAGAGTTCGGTACCAAATTCCGATTTTACTGACGGGAGTGAGGCCCTGAGGGGGTTGGAAGTCACGCAAAGATCCACTGTCAATTTCTCTTTCCTTTTTGAACTACTACATTGTTTCCATTTGCCTCTAAATGTTTCTCTTTTTTTATTTAAAAAGTTATTTATATGGCCAATTAGACAGCTCAGCAGACTAAGCATCTGCTTAGGCAAGCGCAGGGGTCTGGGTTCCATCCCTGGCACCACATGCCATGCTGGGCCCACTGAGCCAAGCATGGTTGTGCACACCTATAATCCCAGCACTGGGGAGGCTGAAAGCAGGATTACCATGAGTCTGAGCTACTAGTGAAACCCTCTACCAAATACATAAAAAAAAAAGTTATTTACTTAGTGTTGGAGCGTAACAAAAATATATTATTTTGTCCCCTCAAATATTAAAACTGCAATTAGTCCTTGAAATTTAAATTTCATAAGCTTTCTGAAAAGCTCAGTTTCTTTACTTTTAGTTTTGTATTACTTAAGTTCCTTTAAAAGTTTTTTTTTTAATTAGTACACATTTGCAGTAAATAGTGGTTCCATCCCATCCCCCATGGAGAGTTGACCCCTGTGTGTTTGTTTTCATCCCATTCTCCTCCTCTCTTCCACCATCTTACTCCCATCCCCATGTGAAGTTCTGTTTCCCCCCTTTTTATTACCCTTTCTTTTTTTTTTTGTGGGGGGGAATCGGGGATTGAACTCAGATCCTGCGCTTGCCAGGCTAGCGTTTACTCTACTGAGCTGTCTCCCCGGCCCCTATTACCCTTACCTTTGCTCTTCAATTTATACTTTGGGTTTGTCTTCTAGAGGAACCATATGATGTTTATGCTTGCATGGCTGGTTTATTTCATGTAACACTGTGATCTTGGGGTGTATTGGTTTCTCTACAAGGGACTTGAGTATTCTAGCGTATGCTGGGGTGGTTCTCCATGGTGAGTAAGTGCCGTGTTTTCTTTACGCATTCATCTGTTGGTGGACATATTGGCCATGTCCAACGTTTATCTATTGTGGGTTGTGCTGCTGCACACATGGGGGTGCAGGGGGCACTGGCATACGGTGTCTTTAACTCTTTTAGGAGGGTCCCTAGAATGCAAGTAACTAGGTCGAGTGAAGTTTCTAGTTTCAGCTTTTTGAGGAATCTCCATACTGTACTGATCTCCACAGTGGCTGTGCTAATTAGTGTATACTCCCACCCACAGGCAGAAGGGTTCCTTACCCCACCACCTAGCCAGCATTTGTCCTTATCTGATTTCTTGGTGGTGGCTATTCTTTCTGAAATAAGATATAATCTCAGTGTTCTTTAATTTGCATTTCTCAAATGGTCTGTGATGTCAATCATTTCTTTGTGTACTTAGGGTACTTCTTTTAAGGCATGTCTGTTCGTTTTACTTTCCATTTTTGGTTGGCTCTTTTATTTTAGGTGGTCTAACATTTCTGAGTTCTTCGTGTATTCCAGATCTTGGTCCTCTGTCTTAGATGCAGGGATCAGCATGGAGATTCCTCAAAAAATGAAAACTAGCAGCTCTACTCAGCCTAGCTGCTCATTCTGGGACTCTTCCTAAAAGATTAAAGGCAGTGAACGGTGGCGATGCGTGCCCAGCCACGTGCATGGAAGCATAACTCACAGCAGCGCAGCCTTAGGAGCGACTGAATGTGGTGCTCTTACCCAGTGCAGTACCACTGCGTCCTAAACTAGAAAACTCGAGTCGTTTGGGGAAATGGTGCACTTTGAGCTGCAGAAGCAGCTGCCACAGTCTGCTTCCCAGGGTCTAGGTCGTCTCTTCACTCCATGGCTCACTGTTTCTGGTGTGAGCCTGACACCTCTAATTTGCAAGCATTTCACTCCTATCCCAGCTTCCCCGCACCCCACTTCACCCTCAGTCCAGGTCTCTGTAGCTTTTCCCAGACTTCACTTGAAAGTTTCAAGACAAAAATCTTAAATTATAGGCTGTGCAGAAATTGAAATTGTTAACATCCTCCATCAATTCGTTGAATTCTTTCAAAATGCTGCTGTTTCCTAGAGCTTCAGTGTTAGAATAATTGTCTGGTATTTCTCTCAATGCTGGCCATATTACACCCTCCATCTCTTTGATCACAGGGTGTGAACTCTTCGGGATCCAGAATTTTCAGTGTTGTTTTCTCCTGAGTTTAGAATCTACTTTTCTATGTATTTTACTTGGTGTCTCCTGCAGAGTGTATTGCATATTTCTCAAATATAACAGATTGTGTTCAGAACTCCACACGTCCATCCATCTCCCCAAGATTTTAGAATTAATGTGCAATTGATTTTGATGGAAGATTTTAGTTTCCCAGGCCATGACTCTGGACCCTGTGTGTCCTTCTTTGCTCTCCCCTTGGTTTTAGGGCCCACGACTGCTCAGATGCCTGCTTTTCACAGGTTTGCCTCTGCAGTGCCTTCAGTTGGGTCCTGCTTACTCTTCTGCTGTCCTCCTGGGGCCAGTATCTTCACATGCAGCTGGGGCCCATGACCCCCAGTTCTGCCCCATTTCAGGCACCGGTATACTGAATGTGTCAAGAATTGTGCTTTTTGGGCCCAGGGAGATGGCTCAGTGGAATAAGCACTTTCCTACTTTCCTGGCAAGTGCAAGGGCTGGAGTTCAATCCCTGGTTCTGAGAGAGAGAGAGAGAGAGAGAGAGAGAGAGAGAGAGAGAGAGAGAGAGAGAGAGAACTGTGCCTTTGTGTAAGATAGAGAAACTAAGGAGCCCACTCTAGTGCGAATGAGCCTTGTGCTCCCGGAGGGCAGGCCTGCGCGCTGTGCACTTTGAGGCCTTCCCTTTCTGCCCCCTCACCTTCCCTTCTCCTCCCTGATGCAGACTCAGGAGAAGTGACTGACATCCGCCAACGCTTTTCTTCACAGCTGTCCCTTCAGGGCTGCTATTTGTCCATGAGGCCTGCAGGCCTCGTTCTCAAATTTTCAAATCCACTTGGCTGTAGGTCTCCTCAGAGTGTCGTCCCCAATCCCTCTGTACAGTGGCATGGAATTTGCATGCGACGTGCTGAATACTGTCACTCATCCCTAGTTAAGTGGTCTGCTGATTACTTACACCTAGCACAATAGAAGTGGGGTGCACATCGCTTTATATTTTAGTACCTAGACAAGAAAAACATCTGTGTTTGCTCAATGCAGATGCTACTTTTTTTTAAAAAAAAAATTTTAAATGATTTTTCAGCAGGGAATGGTGGGGATGCCTATTGTCCTGGCACTCACAAGGCTGAGGTAGGAGGGTTAGTGGGAGTTGTGTCCTGTCTGAGCTATGTAATGAGACTCTATCTTAAAAAATAGAAAGAAATTTTACTTCTGTGTTGAATCCACAAATGCAGATGGCTGATACACGGAGGGTCAACCCTACAAGAACAGAAGTGACAGGTGTACCATGGGCAATCTTACCTTGCTTACTTTGGGAAGCAATTGAAATGAACATTTAGAGAACTGTAGAAAGGCCTGGAGGAAGTTAAAATAGCTATGAAGTATAAAACAGTGGAATTTTCAAATCATTGTTATTTGGTTGTAATTTATATGATATCCTAGCATGTCCCCAGAATGATATAAAGAAACTTTTTTTTGGCTTTCTGAGATAGGGTCTTGTTCTGTAGTTCAGACTGTCCTTGAGTTCACTTTGTAACCCAGGCTGATCTCAAACCCAGAGTGATCCTCCTGCCTCAGCTTCCCAGTGTTGGGATTACAGGTGTATGCCACCATGCCAAGCTAAAAGGAAACTGCTTAAAGAAGCTTTTTAGATAAAATAACTTACCTAAATTCCTGAGGCTTTTTGAAAGATTTGTGCTAAAAGTCTAGAGTCTGCAAACAAGTGGCTGTTGGGTTTAACTCAGCGCTCCTCTCTTGCTGCCAGGTACACACTGGTGGATATCCTGCGAGCTATCTTGCTTTCTTTAGAAGCCATGATTGAAGATCCTGAGCTTCAAGTCAATGGGTTTGTTTTGATCATAGACTGGAGTAACTTCACCTTCAAGCAAGCCTCCAAGCTCACGCCCAGCATGCTGCGCTTGGCCATTGAAGGCCTGCAGGTAAGTGCGCCATAGTCTCCGCGCCCAGGTCTTGCGCCTCACCTTCCCTTGTCTAGGGCTTGGAAGAGAAAATGTCGTATGAAATAATGAAAGCAAAATATGTACAGCTGTGGAGCTCAGACGTCAGAATGCAAGTGACCAAAGGATTATGCAGAAAGGCCAAAGGATGTTAGCCTTTGATTAGATGAGCATTTCTGACGGTAGGCAGAAGCTGAGCCTGTGGCTACACATAAATGCAGGGGTGGACTGAGATTTTTCTCAGTAATCAAAATGTGCAGCATGGTATTAGGTTCGAACTTTTAGATATTTGGGTTTATTTTGTCTTTTTCTGTCTTTATTAGTTAATTACATATATATTTGCTTTGTTATTCCACTTACCCTAATGAATTTGGGATAGGATCAGCATTATATTCATGTTATCTGAAGTTAACCAAGATTTTTTTTTTTTTTTTTTTTTGTCTCTATGGAACAAAACTCAGTGTTTTGAATCACTTCCTAGATTTAATTGGTTTTCTTTGGTGGAGGGGCTATCATGGAGCTTGTCTAGTAATGGTGCATCTTGCAGGGACTGGTATTTAACTGATCAGGACTGATCAGAAATTACAAAATGCAAAATGAATCGCCATGTACTGTAATGCCATGATCCTTATCCTCAAGTTCTTTTGACTTTTGGGATGTCCAGCGACCTCTCTACTATGTGCTGCTTTGTGCACAATATTTACAGAATTCTAAGCTTCTAGAAACACTTGCAAGTTCACCTGAGTCATATTATTTATCTTCTGTATTGCAATACATAGTCCAGAAATCTGCAAGTTAATAGCGAAGGCTTTACTGCCCAGAATATGTTTTGTTTTATTTTATTTTATTTTTTCATTTATGTGCTTGGTATAGGGTCTCACTTGGACTCGTGGTGATCCTCCTGTTTTCAGCCTCTCCAGCGCTGGGATTACAGGCATGCGCCACCATGCCTGGACTTTATTTTAAAATAATGAATTGTATGATTATCCCTCAAGTCCAGGTGTTCCACTTTTTATATTAAATAAGCTAGGTCTTCTCCTGTGACTCGGGCACCACTGTCCCCAGGCATGGACCACTTCCGTGCTGGCGGGACACGTGCACCCTTTGAGGTCACAGCTGGGCTCTGCCTGGGTGGATGGATGAGACGCACCAGCGGCTCTGCATTCTCCGCGGTTTGTCCTGACACCAGCTTCCTGCCTCTCTTGGTGATCAGCCTTGCTGCTGTCTCATTGCAAGTGGCACCTTTATTTTTCTCTTTTTTAAAGCACCACAGATGTATCTAATTAGGTGGGAGAGAGCACAGGACGGCACGTGTCAGGGGATGTGCGTGTCCAATGGCACCTGGTCTACTCTGCCCTGTATGGCTGTGTTTACAGAGTCCTTCAGTTTGGGAGGAAGACTGGTTATGGTGAACTGTGCCAAAGCACGGAATGGCCAGGAATACCTGGCCTGGTGCTGTCCATATGTAACCTGCATCTTCCCTGGGAATTAGAGGCCAGGTAGGGGAGATCTTAAGGGAAAATTAAAAATAACTCCAGTACTTTGCTGTTTCTGTCTTTTGTGTTTTCTGGCTGTGGTGAATAATAATGGTGCCCTTGTTGGAAAGCAGATTGAGAACTCAGCGTGGCCAGTGGGCGCTCCCACTAGCCATGGCCACAACCGCAGCTTATGTAAGAGCCAGGGGGGATGCAGGCTTTGAGTTGAGATGAGGCCTTCGTGCTTGTGTCCCTCTTCTTTCCCCCGAACTCAGCCTCAAGCTACACTAATCCTGAATCCCAGAATGGTGGCTTGCTCACTGCCTTCCGTGGACCCGTGTGTTGTGGCATATGCACTCTTCTCTGGAAGTAACACTTTCTGACATTTTAATCAGGTCGTTGTTTAACATTTACTGTGTAAAAAATATGATTGAATGTTGCTGTGCACTCTTTGAATAATAGCCTCAATAAAATAAATACTTTTTCAAGATGAACATGAGACTGAAAAACATTTGAGGACAACCACCATCACCAAAACTGCCAACCTCACAGAAGTGAATGTTTTCCATTTAACTCAACAATGGAAATTAAGAAATGAGACTATATTCAATCACTCAGTAATAGTTTGTATCATGCCATAATTCTACTGCAACATCACTGTTATTTAGACAAATAAAAATTTTCCTAGGGAATGGAACCAGATATATAAAATGCAATAGTAGATCAGACAAACACTTTGAAGAACTGTTTGTGAGTGGGACTTTCCTGCTCTGAGGGAGCCTAGTTCTCTTGGGCTTCAGATGGCTGCAAACCCATCTGTCCATGTCACCGGCATCTTCATTTGCAGGCACGGAGTAGCTGCCATGACCCAGCTCCAGAAAACTGTGTAAGAGACAGGGACCACGGCTATAACTCTTGAGGCACAGCCTCAAGCAGACACTGCAGAGGGTGGGGACAGAATGCACTTGGGACAGACAGGCCTGGTGTAAGGGCAGCCTTGCTACATATCAAGAACTCATACAGGAGCTGAGGAGATAACTCAGTGGTCTAAGTGCCTGCCTGGCAAGCTCTAGGACCTGGGTTCCATACCCAGTACCACATGCTGTGCTGGCCCCAGAACCCTGGGTAAACAGTGCCAGCCCCCGAAACCAGGTATGGTGGTGCATGCCTGTTATCCCAGTGCTGTGGAGGCTGAGTCAGGAGGATCACTACTAGTCCAAGCTGTGTAGTGAGACCCTGTACCAAATACATAGATAAAAGATTAAAAAAAAATAAAAGAAGAGCTCATACAAATTATTCAACTTGCGTGGATCTCAATTTATCCATTGATGCTGATTTCAAAGTATCATTACATTAGAAAGAACACAGCGTGGGCCTCCTGAAGATCGATGAGTAAAGGTTGGTGTGGGTTTGCTCGTTTTCCAGGTTATATGTTCCAAGGTATGCTCCCTTCTCACAGTTCAGTGGCTGCCTGCTCTGAGATGAGGTCCCGTTGATTGACCTTGGGCATCTGCGTCATGTTGGATAGTCACAGCTCAGACTGTAGACTCTCAGTCTGTAATTTTTCCTAAGGCTTCTCTGATGAATCTAGATATTTTCACAAACGGTGTCAAAAAAAAGTTTTCATGTTGAAACCACAAAAGTGAGTTTGTTCTGTCTAGTGACATTTCGTGTTTATTTCTCTTGGGAGAAGCTCCCGGCACTGCTGGAAAGGTGTCTCTGCCTGGATTTGAGGGCTTTGAGCAGGGGGCCATGCGGATGGAGACAAGGAGAGTGCTCCACAGGGACAGTGAGGACAGACTTGGGCCAGGTGTGTGGCTTGTGGAGGCTGAACGTGCACCATAGACCTGCTTTGGCATAGCTAGGACGAGAGGTAAGTGAGTGAGCAAATGTCCTCCGTGACCCGGGAGGGGCCGGAGAGGCGACCTGAGGCCTGCTGTGTGGGATGGAGGGCTGCGTGTGCGCCGCATGGCCTGCGCTGTCAGACCCAGGCAGGATCTTGACAAGAAAGTTCCTACTTTCCTTTCTGCTTTGGAGAGGCCTTTGGGGTAGAGGTGTAGATGTGGATGGGAGGAAAGGGAGCTGGATCTGGAGAAGTCCCAGCATACGCTAGAGATAATCATGTTAACAACATTTTATACAATAGGGAAACGAAAATTCAGAACTTAATATGCTTAGGTGGCTTTCTCAGCCGATCTCGCGGCTCATACACAGAGTTGGATTTTAGTGTCCTCCATAAATCTCGTTTGGGTGATTCTTGGCCTGTCCTTAAGGATAAGTGGCCAGGTCAGGGTAAACATGCCCACCTGACTCCCAAGTTTCGCGTTTCAGTAGAGGTCAAATTTCCTTCTTGGACTAGGTGGCTGCACTCAGGACCACAACAGTCCCAAGGGGCTGCCCTGGGCTGTGTACTCGATTGACACCAGGGGCAGCGCTGTGTCTTTCCTGGTGCGGGGCTCCACGTGTGACAGCCAGACCCCAGGCCTCTGGGGAAGGGAGGACAACCCTTGCAGGAAGCTGAAGAGATCTTCTGGGAACACAGCTACAAATTGGTACACTATTCAAAGGTTGGCTTCAGGGCAGTTCTGTGTACTTTCTCTGAGGAATCTCTAAATGTTTTCAAAATATAGAGGCCATCTATCACTGTTTCCAGTGTAATGTAGCTTCTTGAAGAGAGAGACAGTACTTACTTTCCTTGGAGGAAAGTATTCAAGTTTCTTTGAAGAGAAAAAGAAAAAGAGAAAAATTGCCTTGCCGTTTACAAGAAGTTAATTGATTAAGGTTGTCACAGAAACGAGAAGTCTTTCAGAAAGTCAATGTGAGATGAAGCGAACATGACTTACAGACTGTCAGCGTCTTCCTGGGAAGCCACTTAAAGGATGAAGCATTTGGGTATGCCTGGGACAACTCCGACTCTGGACTTTCAGTGAACTTGTTACACAGGTGATATCAGTGTTGTAGGCAGCTGAATTAGATAGAAGTATTATAGGCAGTAAGACAGGGTCAGGCCCTCAAGGAGACAAGATGGACGACAAGGTGACTTTGCAACTGAAAAGACAGGCACTCCCAGCTGTGGGCCAGACCTCAAGACAAAAGAGTAAACAAATGTAGCCACATATTTCCCTGGAATGGGCGCCAGGGAGTGATGTTCTACATAGGAATCAATCACCTTGACTGAGCCCAAATGAGTCACTAGCCCAACCCCAACAGGAAGAGACCCTTCCCATATTCATGCCCACTTGCTCCGTGACTAGCTTCCCCATTTGGTACTGGATTGAATCAATTTTACCTGAGCAATGGTGCTTGTAATCTCCTTGGTTGGCCATAGTTTTGTCCCACTCCATGCCCACCTAAGGGAGTTTCCATGTTCTCTACCACCTTAGACCAACCTTACCGCATGGTTTTTCCTCTATAAAAGTCTCTAGAAGAGACAGCTTCCTGGGGACAACCCACTCGGGAGTCTCCCACTTCTGTCCCTCTCTCAGACAGAAGCTTTCTTTCCCCCCA